AAAGGTGAAACCTTGTTTATACAATGCATGAAAGGAAATAATATTTCTTGCCATTTCTGGAGAATAACAACATTTATTCAAATCTGAATTTAACCCACTACTTAGCGACAAAGTATAAACTCCAATCTTGGTGACAGGTGTAACTTTCCTATTCCCCATGATTAAGTTTATTCTTCCTTGCTCCACATTCTCACTTCTTCTTAGTCCCTGCAAGTCACAACAAATGTGAATACCACAACCGGTATCAAGGACCCAAGATTTAGAATGGGGTGAGTTATTAGAAATGATAGTATAGATACCTGCATGGTTGGGTTTAACTTTCCCATCCTTCATATCTTGCTGGTATTTTGGGCAGTTCCGCTTCCAATGTGATTTTTCATGGCAATAGAAGCATTCAGCCTCTTTTGGGTCAGAAGAAGGAGTGACGAAACCTTTCTTGGTTCCACTTGAAGAAGAGCCATCAAGGGTCCTAACCTTGGTACCCTTCTAAGAACTCTTTCTCTTCTTCCCTCGACTTTTCCCGATTGCCAAAACCGGAGTGGAGTTTGGAGTAGGAGTGTTAACAACCGACTTCCCCTTAAGACCTGTTTCAGCGGTCTTGAGAAGTCCCTGAAGTTTGCTGAGTGTGACCTCTTCCTTATTCATGTGATATGTCATGCGGAATTGATCATAGCACGATGGTAAGGAGTGCAAAATGATATCTATTGCAAGCTCCTCAGGGAAGTTCACATTAAGCTTCAGCAATCGATCCACATACCTTTGCATTTTCTGCATGTGGCTCGTGACGGATTCCCCGTCCTTCATCATGGTTGTTATCATGGAGCAGATGATTTCATACCTCTCTTGTCGTGCACTTTGATGGTATCTTTCCATCAAATCTTGGTGCATTTCATAAGGGTAGAAATCCTCATAGGACTTTTGGAGTTCCGCTGTCATCGTGGCCATCATGATGCATGCCACTTTCGTAGCATCCCTTTCATGTGCCTGAAAGTCAGCGATCTCCTGAGGAGTTGCAGTGGTCTCATCAATCTCCTTAAGCTCCTTGTCAAGGACATATTCTTTGTCCTCGTAGCGGGTAATCATCCTGATGTTTCTGATCCACTCATTGAAGTTGGATCCATCAAAAGTGACTTTCCCACACAAGTTCATAAGGGTAAAGGAGCCATTTGGATTAGAGCCAGAAGCAGCATTGTTTGAAGACATCTGAAGGAAGAGGACAAGATTAGTTTAGATATTAAGAGAGTCCTTAATAAAACACCCAAATGTAATATTAAGGCTAGGATCCAATCACAATATATTATAACTTAGAAGAGGTATGTCGTAATCCAAGCTATAACATATTTGAAAGGTAGGTGAATGACGATTCACCAATTTCCACCACGAAAACCGAAATATTAAATATTAGGTTTTTGATTGGTTCTTAGAAATTCCTAGATTCTTTGAGATTCAATGAACTTTTCAAAGGCATGTTTCAATCTCGAGTGTGCCCTCCAAGTTTTGTGACTGGGATACCGAGGATCACAAAACGAGGTGTGAAGTAACCATGCAAATCACTTGGTACCCTTAAAGTTTATCACTCAATCGATGTGCCGGTAAACCACACACGCTCCACCGATACTATAATAAACCTTAAGTCACCCTTTACCTACCTTGTTAAGTCCAAGTTAGTGTGCCGGTTAACCACACACGCTCCACCAACGACTTAAACAAAGTGTAAAGTGTAATTTCATGGATTAGCACCTTATTCACATTTTTCCTAAAGTAACTAAGATTGGGAATTTAATAAAACATTTAGTTACTTTATAATATTCATCATACTTTTAATGAGAATTTATAAGTCCTTGTCCTACCCGTTCGGCTAACGACCCTCCACCAGTCAAGCAAGCGGTGGGTGAGAGTGGACACCCATTAAGTTGCCATTTTATAGGCAACAACCTTATACCCACCTTATAGACCGGCTTCGTGAATGAGGCGTACTAGCGGTAAGACGACTTTGTTCTTATATATATATATATATATATATATATATATATATATATATATATATATATATATATATATTATTAAATTATAATAATATAAGTATAAGGGTTGAATTTTAACTTTTAAAATTCTAAGGGTTGGAACTAAAGTTTTAACATGACTTTACTTGTTCCAAAACTTGAGGGCAAGTTTTGTAAACTTTCAAAACTTTTCATTTCTTGTAACTTATGAGTTTAATAGAGTAATAAAAATGAAGACTCTTCATTTTTCTAACTCTTGTGTTCTTTTAATGGTTTTAATTCAAGTGACTTTTGGTTTTCCATAACTTGAGGACAAGTTATGGACTCCATTAAAACACATTATGATCAAGAATTAATCTACCACATAGGTTACAAATAATTCCTATGATCATCTAAACATCATAAGATCAAGAACATGAATATGAACACTTTCATGAATCAAAATTACACTTAAAACTTTGTAATTTTGATAACTAGTTGTTGTAAATGAATTAGCAAAGACATTACACCATCTAAAACAAGTTTTCAAGTACCAAAACAGTTTAGGGTAATGTTTCTAGTCCATTTCCAGCAACTAAAGTCGAAAATCTGCACTCTGTGGCTCCTACTCGCCGAGTGCATGAACCTACTCGGCGAGTAGGTTGAAGATACAAGTGAACTCGGCGAGTCCCCCTATGGACTCGGCGAGTTCATCAGGCAGACAGCAAGTTTTTCGACTTTTTTCAACTTTTTAGCACAAATAACAAACAAACAAGCCTAGGCTCTGATACCACTGATGGGTTTTGAGCATTCTAACACTTCCTAAGTGTACATGCAACCCTAATAACCTTGGATCTATGTTTGTCTAATTATCATGCAAAGTTGAATTCCAAGGTTATATTCCTATCTAGCATACATGGGGAACAATTTTTAACTTGAATGAAAGATAGAATAACTTACCTTGTTGTTGCTTATGTTCCTTGAAACCTTGTGAGCCTAGCACCCCAAGTGTGATGCCTCAAATGCTTCACACAACACCAAATGCTCTTGGAAAGACTTTTGAGAGAATACACACTTCTTGAAATCGGCCTAGCCCTCTTGTTTCGTATGTGTAGCCAATTTTGGTGGAGAATGGGATTCTTATATAGTGTTGACACATCTAGGGTTACACCATGTAAACCCTAATGTGTCATGACTCTTCATTTCCATGACCCATGGGTTTGTAACTCCCATGGAGCATCCTATGGGTGGAACCCAACTTGATAATCCATGGAGCCTCTTAGCCCACTATACAAGATATGGATGATTTACATAATCAACCCATATATTTAATTAGTTATCTTTTGATCACTTAATTAATTCTAAATTAATTCTTGATCAAACTAATCAAATAATATTATTAATATATTAGAACTTATAATATATTAATAATCCCCAAGTGTTATTTCTCTCATTTAGTCTATCCAATTGCATGGTGCAATGCAACCCAAATGGACCATGTCGGGTCGGGTCAAGTACATAGCAGAAATAGTTATGGACTTAGACACCTTATCCAACAGTTTTTATACTTCTTTAAAAAAATCTATCATTTTCTCAGAACAAAAATAAAAATTAATAATAATAAATAAAAGTTTACCTTGAGACTTTTATGAATTCAATCCAAGCTCATGTTACCAAAATCTTTAAGCATCCCGATGATGAATTTCTACATTAAAAATTATAAGTTTCTATCAAAAGTATCCAAACCTTCACGTAATGATAGTTTTAAATATTCACCAAATGTCTTAAATACCCTTTGATAACGATAAAAAAAGGCTTATAATTCTCAAACTTGGAATTTATAGGAAATATACCTCGTAGACAGTCATATCATTGCAAAAAGAGGCTACTAAACTTTTGGAATTGTCATCAGCTACCAACTCTTCGTTACTAATGACAGTTTTACCTCCGTCAGAAATGTTATCCACCAGTGTATATAAGTGGTCGTTAGGGTCATTGCTAGAAGATTCTTAAACAATACCCTACACCAGTAAAAAGAATGTTAAGTGATTAGAAATAGATCTTTATACTATTAAAAAATAACAATTGAACAAACCTACACTAGTAAATTCTTCTTTCTATTTAAAAAAAGTTATCAAATTTATTCAATTATGTTATCAATCAGTCGCCTTCATAACATGAGAGCATTTTTTGATACCCTTCCTGTGCGCAATTTTCTAAGTTTATTTGATACTACATCAATTGATGCCTCGATCTCAAAGATAGCAGTTGACTTAATAATTTTCCCAATATTCACAATTTCAATTCTGCATCAAAGTCCATTTTATTTGACATCTATTAGTCAATAGACAAAAAAATGGACATAATTATATGAATGTTCCATTCAATGTCATAAAAAAAACAAGCTAAGGTCATCATATATGATTACAAGCATAGAACGTTTTAGGGCACACTGACCATAGCTAAACTACTAATGGCGGGATCATTACCTTGGTCAGATCTTCAATCATAGATGTTGCCTTGGTGTACTCTCCCAATTCTGTTAAGATTACTGCTACCCCCTATAAAACCAATTAGATAGTATTTGGAAGTTGTCTCATGTGAAGAAACAAATTATAAGATGAAATCAGGGTCAATGAACATTTGTTTTCTTGCTTCTGGAAGCAGATTTTGGCGATTTATATGTGATTACCTAACATACTCATGACCCCGGCCAGGAACCAATATCACCTTCAGAACCCAACAAGCGATACTTTAAACTTTCCATATGTAACAAAATGTCAAAAGTACCCTTCTTGCATAATGTAGTAAAAGCAAGAACATCAACATGTACCTATACAGCTAAACTCATCAATAAATACATGATCCTTAGGAGAGGAATCATCAAAAAACGGATTTATTGCAATCAAATCATATCCATGGATTTCATCATATAATATCGCCTCCAGATCATAACACTTACCTTGTTTGCGAAAGCCGCCTCCATTTTTTGATTAATTGATGAGATTATGTACGCCTCTACAAATAAGGCGTATATTCACCAACAAACGTCTCCAAGAAACTAGAAGTGGAAGGCGACCATATAGGCACAACATCCCCATCTCTTTCCCTCGAACTTGAACTTGAACTGTTGGAAGCATTCGCTGGCAAATCATCCAAAATTCTCAATGCCCTCGTGATATCAATCGGTGGCTGCATATTACCCATTCTCACCGTTTGACCATCTCCATCTCCATCTCTATCTCCGCCTTGATTAATCGGAACTTCCACCCTGCTATCTTCCCTAAAATTCCCAATTTCTGAAGACTATTCCTCTTCCCCTCCCCTAAACAATGACGTCGTCATACTCGAAACCATTTGGTCTTCATAATGAAAAATCGTGGTGGTCATAGGGTTTGTCCTCAATATATTCTCATCCATCTCCATCTCCATATCTTAAGGGAAAGCATTCGGAGCAGTTTACGACGAGTCTCTAAGCCCTTCTTCTATCCCGTTTTCTAGAATCCCTCGAGAAAAAGCTTCATGCTGCCACATTTGAGTAAGCGCTTCTTGTAATCGGGCTTTTGCCTCATCTATTTTCATAATCGGGTGAGGGTAGTTGGATCCGAGCTCGATTCCGGCGGCTTGAAGGATGTATTCCGGTTTTATGAAGCAGAGGATGTTGGTTCCTGGAATCAGCAAAAGTCAGAAATTCGTGATGGCGAAGAGATTTGGTGATGGTGCGAGTTTGTTGTGGGAGAAAAGAGGAGCGATGAGTATACTAGGTTTTTTTTTGGGGTATCTGAGTAAGAGAGAGAAGAACGGTGGAAAGAAGGTAATAACATGGCGGGCCTTTCAAACTTTTCGGAATTTCATTTCCCAACAAAAAGTGACCCCGCGTTTCATTAAAAAAATATAAAGCGACATACTTAGAGGACACACATCTTATGTTATGTGCCCTCTGTGCTTTTTTATTTTTTCAATGTGACACTTATTTTAGGGGGCGTAAAAATGCGTACCCTAAATTCTTCTAATTTTTGGACAGCCGACATTATTTTTAGGGCACACACTATTGCGTATCATAAAACAGTACGTGTTATTGTTCGCGCGTCGTAAAAAGCTATTTTTCTAATAGTGATTAGTAGTTAAGGAAAAAAAGGATTGAAAAAGATTTATACATAAGTGATGTATGTAATCTTTTAAATCCATGAATAGATTTAGTGATCGATTCTTAGTCAATTTCACTGATGACTTTTATTCGTTATTGTTGAAACCTTTGATTTGCTAAAATTGTTTCATAGTGAAGATTGAAATACAACTTAATGAGACCATAAATATCCTTTCGTTGTGATAAACGAAATGATTTTTTGTAAACCATGTATTCTTAGAACATCTAAGGAGTTAAGGAATCAATTCGCAACTCATTTCGTAAAAAACACTCACTCGTCAATAGTATGGTTCTTGTGTCATAGGATCACCTGGTCACTTGGATCTATCTTTTAATGTTCGAGATAGTCATCGTATTCTCCAGTGGGATATAGTCACCTGGCCACTGGTTGAATATCGACTGTACAAGTTTTTTAAGAAGATAAAATATAGACCTTGCAGTCTATTATATGATGTTTTAAAGAACTATTTACTTTATAAATTTATGGAGTTATGCTCATTGCAGCAAATACATATTAAATGTATACATTTCCAACCAAACAAGTGGATTAAATACCTTCATTATACTAGGGATGTAATGGTTTATCCTTATCTAAAAGGTATAGAGTTATTGAGCTAATGTTAGACAATAATCTTAACCACTCTAGCATCTACTAACTGTATTTATGTAAATTAACCTAAAAGATTGTTTACGATGAAGTTTCTTCTAATCCCACTAATGGTCATTACAGAACACAAGTGCTTAGAAAGTTCTTTTTATAAGTGGAAGTTATATGGAACATTAAGAGCTAAAGAACCATAAACTAAATGCATCATAGTTTGGAACTACCAAGTTTTTCAATTGTTATTGAACTTGTTCAATAATTGATCATAAACTAATGAGACACATAGAGATGCATTCATGTATGATAATCAAGTATGGACTTGATTAATCTTCCTCGATATATTACGAATATAAAGGGTAAGTGAGTTTTCAAAGGAGAAAGCATACATGAATGAAATTTTTTTTCAGATTTAAGCTGACATCTCAAAGTAAGAATCTTTCTTATAAGATAATTACATGGTGTGATTTAATTGTAAATTAAAATGACTCTTATGTTTTCTATAAAGCTAGTGGGATCGCAGTAACATTCCTAGTCTTATGTGTGGTAGACATACTAATTCTTCGAATATATATATATATATATATATATATATATATATATATATATATATATATATATATATATATATATATATATATATAGATCATGGAAACTTAAAGGATTAAGTAAAATTGCATTAATTGTTAAGTATCTTAAAAAGCTTAAGATAAAGGACTATGAGAGGGTTATCTTTTTAAATACCACATGTCATGATTTTGAGTATTCCTCAAAATCATAGTACAATGTTTTGAACTAGATAATATGACTATATTCTATATGTTGCTGCAATTGGATTAATCATATATGTCATGATTATGCATGAAGGCCAGATATTTCGTATGCTTAGAGCATGTCGAATGATACCAGTATAATCCGAGAACAAGTCATGATGTGATTTATCAAAACATTCTAAAGTACTTGCAAGAACTAAAGAAATATTCCTTAACTAAGGAGTACTTGAAAGAAAGTTTTGTTTAAAGTTGTTACACATGCGCTAAACTTTCCGATCGGGTGTGTCCTCATTATGAATAAAGAGAAAGCGACATGCATAGTGGTTCCATGTAAATTTTAATTACCGTTACACATCATAGTTAGAGTACATTGTGGTTTGGAGAACCACATACAAAGATTCTTAATGTATAGTTCCTTGTGACTATGAGTAACCTCATTACGTAAGTATTGGTATCTAAGTCATATTTAAGCATCTAATACATTTTCAATAGTTATCTTTATATACCAGTTATATATAAAACTAAAAATATTTGTATACGCAAATTTTATTCAAATCAAGTTTGTCAAATCTACTTAATAAAGCTCTTTCATTAGCTAAAGCATGAAATTCAAGTTGGTGTTATAGGGCCTTGTTTATATAAGTAAATGTATTTGATTGAAATTTAGTAATTGGATATTGGAACAATACTAACAACATATATTATAATGAGTTGATATATTGGATATGAGTATTTTGTTAAATAATTGTTGTGTTCTATATTAGCATGTTTAAATCCTTAAATAACTAGGTTATTCTAAATGTCCATAGTTATGGGAGCATTAATGAGGTAAGACTAATATGAGTGGATTGGTTGATTCTCATAAAGATGAGAACAACAAGAGTTACTACCAACTTCATAGCTACTTGATTAGGAGAATAAGTATTGGACCTGACCTGCATCAAAATCATTTTATGGATCATAGTCATGAGTGATGTTTTGATCAAGTTTATATCTTTGTATTCTTAGACATGAGATACATATTTTTGACTTGAAGTGTAGGAATTATTGTTCTTTGACATGGTTTAATGTTGTTCCGTAAAAGGCAGTCATAAGGGCTATCGTTGGGTAAGACATGAACTACATGATAGGCATATGTAGTCAAGATGGGATTTGTTCCCTCTTATTCATTAAGAGTTAAACATTTAAGGCCTTACTAATAGTTGAACACTAAATGAGATTAATGGCGATCCATATCTCATGTTCAACATGATGACTGAGACAAAGGAATAACTAATACTACACCCTTAGTAACAATTGTAGCTTAGAGCTCTTGGAATTGGTTGTTAATGAGATGGTGCCCTTTATATGTTGTTAGGGGCAGTAGCCCATTTCTAGACGTCAGCTACTGTCTATGCTAGTCTCTAATGAATCTTATGCAAGTGGGAGATTGTTTAATGTATATGCCCAAGAATCATTATTTAGTGACATTGCTAATAATATATGATCCTATAGGGTCACACATTTATCAAGTTGGCAGATACTTTATATTTATTATTAATATGATTATTTATAAATAATATCAATTATTGTATTTAATTAGGGAATAATTATTATTTTGTGAAAATCATAATTATGTATAACTAGTTATTATTTCATATGGTATTAATTAATAAGTCATACACAATATTTTGGACTATTTGAATCCTTTTGTGTTTTACCTAAAGACAAATTCTATATTTTATAAAATTTAAGTTTATAAAATTTAAACAATTCTTCTTCTATATCAAGGTATGGCCTAAAGTTTATATAAAGGAGTGAAGGTTGCTTGTCAACCTTCATACTATGTCTCCCATGATCCTAAAGGCTACCAATACTTTAGAGTATTTTAATGTAAAGCCCTTACCTTGCATGGGACTATAAAAGAGTGTGTCTTGCTTGAATTTTGGTTAGTTGTTCAAGTACATCTTTTCTTCTCTAGAAAGTCGTAGCTTTCTATGGTCTCTCCGTCTTTCCTTTTGTAGTTATGTGTTGGTAATTAAAAGCCCACTTGAGTTGTGTCTCCTTTAGTTCTTATTTGAGTTTAGTACTTAAAGGCTTAAGACACTCAAGAATACAAGAAGGAACTAGTAATCCAAGTCCCTTATCTTGATGATGGATACTTGTAGAGAAAATCATACACATTGATTTTTCTATCTTCATCAACACCCCAAAACCAAGTGGGTTCAAAGGCTTCAAATATTGTTATTCTAAAACACTCATTGGTTGTTCTAATACCATTCTAACATATATAAATGGATCCTAGATGGTTTGGGTTGTCATAAACTTATAAATGAACTTGTTATTTTTATAAGACTTCCGTTGAGGTTTTTATGAAAAACACACTTATACTTTGTATCAAAATCCATCACGCCATTCACAGGCCACTGTGAAAGAGGAAAGGATTTATTAGACCTCATCGACACAAATGTTTTTGGACCATTCAAATCTGCCACAAGACATGGTAAGAGATACTTCATGACTTTCGCTGATGATTATAGTAGATATGGATATACCTATTTAATCAAGAATAAGTCAGAAACCTTTGAAGTGTTCAAAGAATTTCAAAACGAAGTAGAGAACCAATTGGGCAGAAAGATCAAGATGATCCAATCCAATAGGGGTGGAGAATATATATGTCTTGAATTCTACAATCATCTTAAGAACTGTGGAATAGTTTCACAATTATCTCCTCCTAAAATTCCACAATTAAATGGTGTTGCTAAGAGAATAATCAAACGCTATTATATATGGTTCGATCCATGATGAGTCGGGCTACACTTCTGATAACGTTTTGGGGGTATGCCTTAAAGAAAACCGCACACGTCTTAAATCCTGTACCAACTAAGAAGGTTGCTAAAACACCCTCTAATATGTAGAGTGGGACACATCCTTCACTAGTACATGTAGAAGTTTGAGGATGCAAGGCTTTCGTTCGCCATGAGGCAAACGATAAGCTCAGACCCAAATCAGAGAAGTGTTACTTCATTGGTTATCTAGAAAAGTCTTTTGGATACTTGTTTTACAAGCCTTCTGAGAACAA